TTAACACTTTTATTATTTTAATAAGTAAATATTATTAAAATAATTCCTATCAACATAACTGATCCCAAACGAAGGGAAATTAACAACGACTAACTAAAAAACATTACATAAACAACATTAAAAACTCAAAAAGGAAAAAATTAATGAAAAGCTTCAAACAATAAATACATCTCAGTGTGTGAAGTGATTAATTATCTGTAATATGATATCAAAACATAAAAGAACTTGCTTTTCAACAATTGAAAAAGTACTCCAGTACTAAGTCCAAACTTAAGAGGTTTCTCAAGAGTATCATTTGTTGTGCAGGATTTTTCTTTTATGAATTGTGTATATTAAAATAATGTAGGAAATGAAATATAATTTCATATGTAGAATCAATATAAAATTTAAACGACAAATCCATAATATAAAATTGGTATTGGGTATAGAATAATGAAATGACAAAACAGAAAAAAGAAAAAAAAAAGGCAATTTAGCATTAAAAGTAAAATCCTAATACCCTTGAAAGATTAAGAAAAAAAACGTAAAACGTAAAATTAGTATTGGAGTTTGTGAATTATTTCAATTTAACATGAAAAATATGGAAAAAAAAAATTACAAATAGAGTTCAATATAAAATAAGTAAAGTTAGTATAATTTAAATTATATTTGGAGTTAAACTTTATATGTAATTTAGAAATATACACTGACGTGATTCTTTAAAAAAAAAAATCTTTATAATATGTCATTTAAATATAAAAAATATTACTTTTAATTATATATATTATATATATATATGTATATGTATATGTATGATGTTTAGGAATTCAACTCCGCTACGTAGTTCGAAATATATCAACGGTTCGAATAACTTGAAATCTCAAAAACAGACGTTGTTTTAAGATTTTTTTTTATTCTCTTACCGTAAGATATTATTTTTGTACCATTCGGACCATTCAAGTTCTCATACATTTCTTTAAGAATTCAATTCCGCTACGTAGCTCGAAATATCAACGGCTCGAATGGCTCGAAATCTCAAAACAACATCATTTAAAAAAAAATTTATTCACAATATTAATAAAATAATATTTTTTATATCATTCAGACCATTCGAACTCTACGCATTTAAACTCTCACGAGACTTTAAAAGGGCATAATCATGAGGCTTTACAAGTAAATGAATGATTAGGAGATGTGGTCAATTTAGCTACGAGAATTTGCAGCTTTTTTGTCTAAGGTTGACGACTTACACATGCGTGACAAAGCATTGTGCTTGGGTGTCATCTCCAATGTTTAAAATAGAAGTTTGACTTAAATTAAGTTAAGAAAAGTGATTCATTAAAATAAAATAAAAAATATATATGTAGAATTATATTCAAAATATCATGGCAATAATAATTTTAAAATACAAATTACATTAATAGAATTTTATTGTTTAAATGATAGTACTAAAGACTACCACATTATCTGAATCAAAATTTTATATTATTTTTATTTATATAATACTACTCATAAAGTAATATTTTTTTTTTGTTTTTTTTTCATTGTCATCCCTATTTCTACACTCCATTTTAATTCATATGAATGTGATATAAGAATAGGTGAATGCTTCACACTTCAACCGCATTTGACATTTGAATTGATGTTATTTGTCACCAATTGTGTTAGTGTCATAATTGTTTTCATAAATTAATTATAGATTCATGACAAATTTTCATAGAATTAGTTATAAACAAAATAGCGGAGCTCATATGTGAAGTTATCTTATCTCTTTGTTTCACATATGTGATTGATTTTGTATTTTTTTTTTCTTAAACTTTTGAATGATTATTGTTATCAAGTAATTATCTAAGAGTGTCGAAATTCATATGACATTTGCTATACGGTGTTAGAAAACTAATCACGTTAAGAATATTACCTAAATAGGTAGATCTATTGCACCAATTTAAAATTGTTGTGGGCCCATAGTATGTTTGAATTTTGGCCAATGATTGAAAATTCTGGATAATTTTTTAATTATATTTTTGAATATGTAAAAGTATTGTTACTTGAATAATATCACATGATATTTCAATAGTATCTAATAATTTTCTAACATGATGCCTGTGAAGTTGAAATTAAATGTTTATGGAGCAATAATAGGGATCCCAAAAAGATTACCATACAAGTAAGAATATCAAATATTTTGACACAAATTCATTAAGACAAAAAAAAAAAATTTAATCATCCCATAAGTTGTACCAAAATGTGACAAAATGATTAAACAACACAAACTACCTTGATCATCCAACTAATTATATACCATGATGAAAAGAAAAAAAAAAATGGAGTAAACAAAAATTAAACTTCCCACTATTAGAAATAAAATAGTCAATCTTGAATATTTACCCTATAACTTTAAGGAACCCAAGCAAAAAAAAAGGGGGGGGAAACTCATGCATGCCAAAGCTTGAAATCGATCATAAAATTTGCTAGAAAAATAAATTTTGAAGTGTAGATGTGCTTAATTATATATTAGTGTGGAAGATGAACTAAATGTTGAGAGTTGTTGGAATAGCACAATTTCGTGATAGAATCATAACATAGGAGAAAAGAAGGCGGAGAAAAAATAAAAGAAAAATATATGCTATCATATAAAATAATTGAACGGGGTTCTTTACTATTGTTGTTTGTTGTTGTCGTGTGTAGTAAGTATTCAAACTAAAGTTTAAAAAAAAATGATTCATTAACTATGAAAAGAGCAAGATTTATATCCTTATTAGCAATAGGTGGGTTTTTTAATAAAAAATCCAACAGTTAAAAGATATAAAGACTACAAACAATTTTGTTCAAAAAATCTCAATTCATCCAATGAGAAAGGCTTCAATATTATATAATATTCATAAATAAATAAATAAACATTAACAAGGTTTCATAGGACAAACAGTTGAAGATATCCAAAGTATCTTTTGTTTGGAAAAATATAATAACAATAATAATCCAAACTGTGTAACTAAAGAGGAATTTAGAAAATGGATGTATGGATTGTCCAAAAAAATGCCTAGTTAGTTATATATTTTAGTGTTAAAAACAAACAAATAATCCAAACTAGTTTGCTAAAAAGGAATTTTGAAAATGGACTTATGTGATTGTCCCCAAAAAAAAAAAAAATACCTAGTTAGTTTAGTTATATATTTTAGTGTTCAGTCAATATTGATTGGTGTCACCTAATAAAAATTTATTAAGTTTTCCAACAATTATCGAATGTTTATTAATAAGTATTCCATGTCATTTATTAATTTATATATGCCTTCTAAAATATCGATATAAAAATGATAAGCTTTATTATCTAGACTAATAATTACTTTAACTAAAGCACTACAAAAATTTACTTGGAGAATATTAAATAATTTCTCTTCACCTAGGCCAAGAGTCACAAATTGAGAAGTCTCTTACTAGTTTTCATGTGGTTCAAAATCATTCACTTAAATGTTTCTACATTTGTATAATTGACCTCTACTCCTAACAATCATTAGTGAGCTTATAGTTATTGAATATTAAGAGAAATTTTATAAACAGTTACAAATAAATGATAAAATTTATAAATATTCATTATAAGTTTGTTCATAAAATATGTAATAACTTTATCAAATTACCAAAATTATTGGAGTTATATTTACTTGAAATTATGTTTTGATGTCTATTTTTTAAAAATATAATTAAACATGATATTTAAAATTATCTCTCCCGGTATTTTCCATCTTTTTCTAAATTTATTTTATTAAGTTTCTTTTTATTTTTAATATTTTCTTGTTTATACAGAAAGGGGAAAAAAAATATAATAATTATAAATTAAATATGATATTTTATCTATTAAAAGATTATTTTATCTTTTTATAACTAAAATAACTTTAAACCCAATTTAATTCATTTTCCCAAACAGAGGCTTTAATCTTTCACATGTTTCGTACATGTCATGACAAAATGAAATATAATAGAAGAAATAATATAATAATGAAACAACTATCTAAAACCGTTGGTCACAATGCCCAAAATTTGTATTTAATATTAAAAATGAAAATGAGATTAACCATAGTTTATGATTTTGACCATACTTGTGGTTAAAAAATTGCAAAAACAAAAAATAATGGGTAGATCACGTCACCTAAACCTGAACTCT